AAAAAAAAACGCATATTAGTCTTACGTACTCGCTTTACAGGAAACACAGGTAGCAAGTAGAAGCCCGGATACTTTTCCATTATTTTTCGAATCTTTTCGGGCTTGTTTTGAAACCTGAGTTGAGAATTTCATACGTTACAGTTGATAAGGTCTAATTGATATCGGACCTGTGCCTGACTGAATGCGGTCCACCTTCGAACGTCAAATCGCAGCCAGGATCCATAATCATGACGAGCTCACCTTTTTCCAACTGTGTAATTTTCAGCTCATGATCACGGAAAAATAAAAGAAAAATAACACGAACATCCAAATGGCCACCGCCTGCTGATGACTCTTTTCCTTTCTTGGTCACCAATGCTTTAGTGCCCGGAAACCATAGCTTTATGCTTTCGTGAGCACATATTTCATTTTTCTTTGTGGAGGGCTTGCAGACTAATACTCTGTAAGAAGTAAGATTGTTAATATTCAAGTTTCGTCTTGCTTAAAGCTAGACACCGCAGTTCTTTTGTCTTTATAACATTTGTGGTTCAGATAGTGGAAAGGGGAGAGAACTTTAGATTCAATGGAAACTTTGTTGGAATGGATTCATGAAGTTTGAACCACTTTTCAAGTCTTGAAAAGACAAGGTAGTCAACGTGCTAATTAAACAACGAATGAGTATCTATTAGGCAAAAGTAGACAGGGTTGACTTAGATCAAATCTTGCAAGAAATAATAATCACCTCGGGCAGTTTTTGGCGACTAACACGTCCTTCTCCTGTACCACAACAATGTCATTAATGCCCGGCATGCATCTGAACGGTAACAAGATTTTCTTATACCACATAAACTGTTCAAGTTAGTATTCATTCAGCATATGAACACATAGCTTTTTTCTGATCAGAATCAGGCAATCAGTAAAAATTTGTCACACTATCAATCCAGTCCACTTGCACATCATAGAGCCAAGCTGCTCATACGCGGAAAGTTGCCAAGAATCTAGTCCCGTGCGAAAGCGGATGCTCATATAACAATTCACGGCAAGGCTATATTTGCAATATTGTGTTTGCGTAATATTTTCTGGCTACTGATGGGTTCCATGGTTTAAAGTGTTAATCTTCTGGGCAGTATTCTGAGAGATGTATACAGAAGTTTATTCAATTTGCCTAAAATGTTTGTTGTAAACTAGCAAAATCCAAAACTTCGCAAAGCGTACGACCCACCAATGGGGCTCTGACAAGGGGAGGATACTTGGTCGAAGTGGCGTTTC